AAGATGAATAGTATGAAATCAAACGACTATACATACATATAATAATATAAATACATGATGAAAATTTTACTCTTAGCCTTATGCACAAAACAGTTAAGAGTTTAAAAAGTAAATGTGGAGGACACACCACTAACGATATATCATCAATGATATAGCGAACAGGGGGAAGGAAATATGATGGGCGGGAGTATTCCACAAGAGACTACGTTTACCCTTTTAAATCACTTTTTTTCATTCCTTGTCTATCTCTTCCTTGGAGTTTTCTGAGACAAGTGAGAACTTTAACAAGAATATTTCCACTTCATCGGTCTAAAATCGACCGATTCAAAGTAACCAATAACAAGTTACCTGTCTTTTTTTCCCGTAGGGTTAGTATTTTAAGTGCTTTTTCATCCGAATCACATATAAAAGGCTTCACGCCAAGTCCATTTTTGTGGTAATAGAATAAAAAAAATTAGAATGACTCCCAAATCAATGCAAAGACAAAAAAAATGATAAGGTTAAAAATATGAGAATGAGCTGGATCAAAAAGAAAATAACCTGTAGAAAGAAAAAGGTATGAATATTAATATATGCATAAAAGTAGAACTAACACATACTATGAGTAGAAGAAAAACCCAAATCAAATATAACACTCAATATTAGATAACAATAATACATTTAAAAATAATACGCGAAATCGAATAATAACACATTAATTGCATAGGAAAGGTAAAAAAATGAACCGTGTAGGCACTAGTTTACATTACCTTTTATGGTATAATTTATCATAATAATGTGATCATCTGAGAAATAAGAGTTACCAAAGGGAGCTACACCATAGCACTGAACGTAAGGCCGATCTCCACGCCTCCTGAGACGCAAAATACCGAAACCGTACGTTTGAGAAAGTTTTGACTTACTTTTCCATGAATTCGATATATTGATATGGATATTCAAACAATTTGAGCATTGTTGATTCTTCTTCCTCTGAAAGATCTATTTTAGATATTCTGCTCCCTCTTTTCCTTGGCGATCCATAACTGAACTCCGCAATTTATACATGAATGCCAACCCCCAAACACCCTCTTCAAGATCCCTTCATTCCTGGAGATCTGGTGTTGGATTCCTTTAAAACGTTTTCTCACGATTACCATCATGCTTGTATTGCAGAATATAAAAATATCTACCAATCCTTTGTTAAGAAAAGAAAGTCCTTCACTCTGGTAAGCCAAGACAGAGAACAGATGTCAGACCAGTGAGGAATGCCCCAGGCCGTCAAACTCGCGTGGAGAATCACGGATGGTTCTCCCAGCGAAACTCAAACAATATCGTACCCCAAACATAGTATGAGGAGTTGTGATATACACTGGAAAGGAGCGGGTGGCGTCATCATTAAATGGGTGCAATTTCCTCGCCATTTTTACCCGAAGAAGAACGCGGACTTTTTAACGGTCGCTTTGGGGAATATGTGCGTGGGAGGTTGTATTTTGCTCCACCATAGTAAGTGTAGGGCGCGTGCGGAAGAGAAATTCATATATAATAAATAATAATAAAGAATTGCGCATTTCGAATTCGTCACGTTAGACCCTCACGCGTCGCGGCGCCTGCCGAGGTGAAGGCTTTTCCTTCCTGTGTGTGATCAAGGAAAAGCCCCGACATGCCGTAGTGGCCGCTGTTGTAAACTCAACCGTGAAAGCGCGGGATGGGCCCCTTTAAGGCATCGCATTTTTCCCATTTTCTTTTTGTTAAACAAACGGGCTATCCGGGCGCGACGGCAGGGTAGGATCTTCTCCTTCTCTCATCCCCTCCATGGTGACCTACAATACCCCCCTTTCATAAAGGGAATGCGGTGGGTTGTGAGGATGCCAAATTAGGCGCCATCCCCGTGATGTTTTTTTATTAAATTGTGTGTGGACTTCAAGGTGGCTAACGGTGCTGTTGTTTAAAATACCGCAGGGTCACGGGCGGGGCGTCCATCAAAAATCCCGATTTTATTTCTTCCGCCGTCGCGCTGACCGGCAGGGGAAAATAGGAAGGGGTGAGGTGGCCGTGGAACGGGGAGAGGGCCTCATGCCGCGAGCTCCGGACCTGAAAATGGACCTCGCGGGGGGGGTTATGGTCGACCTCGGAGTGCGGCTGCGGGGTGTCCCACACATTCAAACCCCCCATTGGGTGCCCCCGATGAATCTCCGAGGAAAGCCCCTCGTGCGAGGAGTGGTCGAGATGAGAAGGGACCGACAGGATGGATAACTTCAGCGGGAATTCGAGGTCGAGTTCGTGGGGGGACGGTGAGCCGGGGAAGTCGGTTTGCGTCATTGAATAACGTGGGCGTGATCAACTTTCGGAAGTGAAACGCCTCTTAGAGAGTGGG